AAAGACCCTCCTGGAGCAGTTCTGTGTCAGGAACCAGAGACAATTTGAGCTTTTTCAGTCTTCAGTTTCTGTTTATTGTTACCTTATCAAAACTTCAGCACACTGTCTGCACTGGGCTCTGTGTGCAGGAAAAGCAGCACAAAAATGGCCAAAAACCTCCTGTTACAAGGCTTTTTAAACCTAATCAAAAACTAAGCTACACAATTAAGAAATTACACCTGAATTATTTTCCTTTCTAACCCAATAACCGAACCCTAAAGACCCACAATGAGAATTTTCCCACCCAATTACAAGATACCACCTAAACCCAAGAAGAAAGAGGAAGATGAAGAAGGAAGAACTCGAGACAACACCCCATATCCACCATCTTGTATCCATCTATAACAATAAAAATCCTAAACCCTGAATTTCCCAGTGCCCTGGGTTCCCACAGCGAGCAGCTCTGGGGGAAGGACCTGAGGGTTCTGATCTCCAACCCTGCCCTGGGAGCAGCAGGAAAGGGATTGGGGTTGGGATTGGGATTGGAGTTTGGGGTTGGGGTTGGGATTTGGGTTGGGATTGAGAATAGAATTGGGGTTGGGGTTGGGATTGGAGTTTGGGGTTGGGATTGGAGTTTGGGGTTGGGATTGGAGTTTGGGGTTGGGGTTAGGATTGGGATTTGGGTTGGGATTGAGAATAGGATTGCAGTTGGGATTGGGATTGGGATTGGGGTTGGGGTTTGGGTTGAGATTTGGGTTGGGATTTGGGGTTCGGATTGAGAATAGGATTGGGGTTTGGATTGGGATTGGGTTTGGGTTTGGGTTTGGGTTTGGGGTTGGGTTTGGGGTTGGGGTTGGGATTGGGATTGCGCCCCCCAGATGAGATCCCACCTGCAGCCCTGCCCCAGCCCAGGAGGAGCTGGAGCTGCTGCAGAGAGCCCAGAGGAGGCTCCAGGATGAGCAGAGGGATGGAGCAGCTCTGCTGGCAGGAAAGGCTGGCACAGCTGGGATTGTTCACCTGCACAGGAGAAGCTTTGGGCTGAGCTCAGGGTGGCCTGGCAGGGCCTGGAGGAGCCCCAGGAAAGCTGCAGAGAGACAATTTCCAGGGATGGAGGGACAGCACACAGGGAATGGCTTCAAAGTGAAAAATTACAGGTTTAGCTCAGATATTAGGAAAAATTTCCTCCCTGGGAGTGTGGGCAGGGCTGGGATGGAATTCCCAGATTCCCCTGGATCCCTGGCAGTGCCCAGGGCCAGGTTGGACACTGGGGCTGGAGCAGCCTGGCACAGTGGGAGGTGTCCCTGCCATGGATCTGGATGGGTTTTAAGGTTTCCCAACCCAAACCATGCCATGATCTGTGATCCTTCCCTGCCCGGGTGCCACTCCTGCTTTTCTCCAGTGCAGTTTGACCTCTCCAGTCCGTGGCTCCTTCACAGGCTGCCCAAAGGGATTTGCCTCCTGTTTGCTGCATGTCCTGGGATATTCCACTAAAAATCCCACCCAGCAAAGTCTCCCCTCTGCCTTTTTGAGGTGCTTTTCCAGTGCCAAGCAGCCCCTCTGGGCTCGTGTTTCTCAGACAGGTTCTTCCCCCCAAGAGTCTCCCACAGCTCAGCTCTGAGCCTCTCCAGACGTTTAAAGGGAGTTTACAAAGTTCCCAAAATCCCAATATTTTAATCTAACCCCACTCTGAGCAAAGCAGGTGTCCTCCAAAAGAAAACAGACATTAAGGAAATCCCCAGGCTCATTTAACAGTTTATGCTGATGCTAAATGTTGTTAAAGTTATTTTTTATTTCTTGGTTAAATCTGTTTAATAGCTGGGGCCATTTGTTCTTGTTCTGTGACCAAAACTCTCCCAAGTTCAGCTGGAGCCTCTCCTCACTATTCTTTTTGCTCAGCAAAGCACATCCAGCCCTGAAAACACCTCAGGAGTGGTTTTATTTCTCTTAAAGCTGCAAAAAGTAATTTCGCAACTGGTCCAAACCTTTCCCCAAGGAAAACACCAATTTTTAAACATCAATTTATAACCAATATTTTATTCCTTTCCTTTCCTTTCCTTTCCTTTCCTTTCCTTTCCTTTCCTTTCCTTTCCTTTCCTTTCCTTTCCTTTCCTTTCCTTTCCTTTCCTTTCCT